AGCCGCTGGTGGAATCAAACCAGGTACCTTTGTGCTGGCAGCACAATTTCTTCCACTAAGCCACCAGAGCTCCCTTATTGGTCTAGCTGTGCACATTTTGTTTCCTGTTGAGATACACTCCACATTGAAGACTATAATCTTCAATCTTCATCAGAAAGTGCTTCAAAATCTTTTTGCAGGAAAGCTGGGTCATTGTATACTGCAGCTTACTCATGTGTCCTTCCTCCAGTCCTGATGCCACATTCTTCATCATATAGTCTGGATTATCAGATTAGTTGCTTAGTATACTGATTGTGTTAAGTATAATGAAAGGATAAAAACCTGATGAATCCCATTCATGATTTTAAACCAAGTCGTATAGAAAAGCTTCATGCGTTTTGTTCATAGGGTCACTATGAGTTGTGCTTGATTAGACGGCATTGAACAACAACATCTAAAAAAGCATTTAGTCACTAGTTTGGGACTGGAATCCAGTTTGCGAAGTCATCTGGAGAAGCTGGATTCTATACAGGTTTGTCTTCTAGTTCTGGTGAGGATTGGGTGTGAGTTGATTGTATTCATCCGCCAATTAGAAAGGAAATTTGGTCAAACATTCAAACCAGTGGTATAGCACTGGTCTGTCTATTTGCTGTACAGAGGTAACTCGCAGTTGCTGTGATGCTGAACACTGTGACACTAATGTGTAAAATATGATAATGGTTACCCAGAGTATACAGTGTTTGGTGGAACTCCCTGATTAAAATAAGCATGGTAGCAGGGGTGGCATTCACTTCTGAAATACCTTGCCTCTGGAAACCCTATGAGCTTGGAGAAACAATGAAAGTTATACAAATGTTCAGGCCTTTAGTTCATAGGGTCGCTATGAGTCGTCCACGACTCAGTGGCAATTAATAACAACAACAACAGTATTCTTTTGTTCTGTTCAAATTCAAGCTATATCCTCTTGGGTTTTTTTGGGTTTTTTAAATTTTTTTTAAAAGTTTTATTATTTTTGTGTGCGTGTACCATCAACTCAGGTCTGACTGGTACAGGAGGAGATTGTCCCTCCTTCCCCGGCAGAGCATCTGGTGGATTCGAACCGTGCGCCTCTGGGATTGTAGTTGCAGCTCCTTGCCACTAAGCCACCAGAGCTCCCCTTATCCTCTTGTTTTATGTACAGGCTCCACATGAACTAAACATTAGTTTAGCCATGTAGTAAAAAAATAAAAAAAGAAAAAAGCTAGTCTTAAGAATTATGCTTATTAAGAATTGTCTGTTGAAGCTTCATCATCTTTGCCTCCAGTAGCACTCTGGCTTCATCTTCTCCAAGACATAGCTATTTTTTTCTTTTAGCAGTTCATGGAGTGTTCAGCACTCTTGTCCAACAACACATTTCAAAGGCTTCAAGTCTTCTGTCATTCTTAGTCATTGTCCTGCTCTCAGATACATAGTGAGTGACTGAAAAACCATAGCCTGAACCAGGCATGTCTTACTGTAACCTCACACTGACATTCTTGCTCCTCAATCATTTGGAGCGATCCCTGACTACAGACTTTGTCAGGGCACTATGCCTCTTGACTACAGGTACTAAGTGTATTGATTATGGATCCAAGTAAGAAGTCACTGACAGTCTCTGTACTTTTCCCGTCTATCTTGATGTTGCCTATTGATTCAGTGGTGAGCATTGCTGGTTTTTATGTTGAGATACAATCCATACGGAAGTCTGCAGTGTTTAACCTTCTGCAGCCAGTGCTTCAAGGCCTCCTCACTTCCTGCAAGTCTGGTTGTGTCCTCTACATAACGAAGGATATTGATGTGTCTTCCTCTAATCCTGATGCCATGTTTTTCTTTATAGAATCCACATTCTAATAATTTGCTCAGCATACAGAAGAAATAGGAACAGAGAAAGGGTATAACTTGAAACACACTTCCTAATTTTAAACTATGCTTTGCTTTGCTTGCTTTGTCCCCCTGACAGCCTCTTGGTCACGGTGTAGCTTTCACATGAGCACAAGTGAGTGTTCTGGGACTCCCATTCTTCTCAGGGTCAGCCATAATTTGTTATGATACTCACAGCCAAATGCCTTCGCATAGTCAATAAAAATTAGATACTCTTAAAAAAAAGTGCATCTAAATTCC